CAAACTTGCTCATTTTGATAGTGCTTACAAATTGTGGATATTCATAGAAGCACATCAAGGAGACTTGGAGGCGATCCAACAAGCTTTGGAGGATCCCGCTTCAAGTTCATGTGGAGCCTCATGCACACGGCCACTAGGCGATAGCCCTAGTGAGGTTTGCGAGTTCGAACCCGATAATGATTTATCTAGTGATGAACTTGCTTGTGCTAGTGAAAAATTATTGCATGCCTATAACAAATTGCAAAATGATTTTAATGATTTAAAAAGCAAGCATGATGTTTTAAAATCCGATCATGAGAAGCTAGTGTCCAAATTTGATGTCATTGAAAATGAAAATACTATGCTTAAAGAAAGCAATGACTTATTAAATTTGGAAAATGGAAATTTGATTTCATCTATTGCTAGCCTATCTCATGCTAAGATTGATGCCATGTTAGAAGTAGAGAACATAAAAAATAATACAGCTTCTTTTATAAATAATTATTTATGTTCTACTTCTAAAAATGCATATGTGCCTAAAAATGAAGATTTGAATCTTATGAAAAATAGTATTTCATCTTTAGATTCAACTTTAAAAATATGCATTCATAACCATAAGAAACTTATGGACAAGTGTGCTAAATCTAGTAAATCACCCATACACTATGCACACTTGTATAGCAAAGTTTACAAGTGCTCCATTTGTGGTCGTAAAGGCCATTTAGCTAAATTTTGCTATGATGCACAAAAACATAAGAATATTAATCCTTCTTGTGCATCTCATCAAGTTTCTTCATCACATGTACACACACATGCACATGCATCTATTTCTCATCATAAGCATGCTAATGTGTATAAATGTGATCTATGTGGTCGGTTTGGCCATTTGGCAAAGTTTTGCTTTGACATGAAAAAGAATTCTAGATTGCCAAATGTTTTTCATAGACCACATGTTTTTAAATGTCATGTTTGTGGTAGGTTTGGACATCTTGCTAAATTTTGTTTTGATATACAAAAAGCTTCTAAATTGCAATATGTTCCAAATAGACCATTGTTTAAGAATGTTTCTCATTTGCAAAATAATTTTAAAAGAAAATCTTTATTTGCAAATGATTCCCGTGCACGAGCTAATGGTCCACAAAAACAAATGGATCTCTTTCATTGCACAAATTGCAATCGGAAGGGTCATTTGAATGAATATTGTTTTGACCATGTTAGTGCACCATATGTGCCTAAGAGGGTTCATAACCCTAAGGCTTTGAGCTTTAATGATAGGGGTCATGTCCCTAAATCTTTTGGTACCAAGAGTTCTTGGGTACCAAAACAAATTTAAACTTTAAACCAAGAATTTTAGTGTTCTTACTTTTAGTCCGAATTCGTGTGCGTTATTATGTTCCATTCAGAAAGAAATAGACTAACAATTTGAAGATTTCAATATACTCTTTTGTATAGATTAGAACGATTAACTTGTGTGTGGACGGTTTTGATAGGACTTGCATTCGCCATATTATGCATTATAAATTTTTTTAAAGAAATATTCCTCATCAAAACAAGTTAAAACTTTTTAGTTGTGATTAACAAATTTTTCTGTTCGCATACTTGTAGGCTTTGCAAAAAGCTTGGGATGATGCATGCGCAGCTGAAGGAAGCGCACAAATAACTATTCCTTTCGGTGACTACTTAGTTGGGCCGGTTTTGTTCAAGGGAAAATGTAAAGGACCCATTACGATCCAATTAGATGGAAATTTGCTCGCTGATACAAATCTCAACCGGTACACGAGCAATTGGCTTGAGTTTCAGTACATCGATGGGCTCACGATTAGTGGTCGTGGCAAGCTCGATGGACAGGGGACCACCGCTTGGCCCCACAATAATTGCCCAGACAATTGGAAGTGCAAGCTTCTTCCAATGGTAAATTTTGATCTTTTAAATATTTATCAGGGGTTAATTGCAGCTAAAATTTTCATAGCAATTTATATCCTCTAAACTGTTTTATTAGCATTTTCACATCCTTTGAATATTAAACAAATTTAATTTTTTTACCCTCATTTCAAGAACACTTTAGTCTTTTCTAATTAAAATAAAGGGTGGAAGCGAAATTTCTTGTCATATAATCCACACAAAACATCTAAAGTCTTAACCTAACTAGAGAAACAATGCATTGTAAGGTACACAAGGGTAAAACTATATTTAGATGGTATCGGTGTTGCATGGTTGTGGTACAAAAAGTATCCATTAATTCCATTAAAAAAAAGAAAAGAAAAAGTATATCCATTAATGATCTAAGCCCATAACATTAATGGTTCACCAAATGAACATTGACACTTGGATCAATGCATTGATCCCCAAGCATCTTTATAATAACCAAGAAGTTATTATTCTTGTGGCACGTTGTTAATTCTGGGGGTTAATACTGATCGACCTATATATCTCACACTACTTTTGAACTCCATTAGACAAAAGTGTGGGATCCATCCTCTTGAATTGCTATCGAAATTGGATGATCAAGTCGCTAAGGACCCCACACTCTCATTTCTGATAGTATAAAAGTAGTTTGAGTTGATCCGTGGTCTAGCTCACCTGTATATATAACTAACTTTTTTTATTAATTAATTAAGCATTTGCTTGATGCGCTTTGTTCAACTGAACAAATTAAATCGTTCACCGTTTCAACAGACAATGTCGCTGAGCTTTGTCACAAACTCAGCCATAACCGGCATCACCTCCCTCAACAGCAAGTTCTTCCACGTGAACATGTTCGGCTGCAGCAACATCGACATCCACTCCATCACGATAACCGCCCCCGGCGACAGCCCCAACACCGATGGGATCCACATGGGCGCCTCCTCTAACATCATCATCACCAACTCCACCATCGGCACCGGAGATGACTGCGTCTCCGTCGGGTCGGGCACAACCAACGTGACCGTATCTGGAGTCACGTGCGGGCCCGGCCACGGCATCAGCGTCGGCAGTTTGGGCAAGGATGAGGATAAGGGGGATGTCGTGGGGTTCAATGTGAGGAACTCTAAGCTGAGTGGGACTGCAAACGGGATCAGGATCAAGACTTGGCAGGGCAAGAAGGATGCTAAGAATGTTGAACCCATGATGGTTTCGGGTTTCACGTTCGATGATGTTGTGATGGAGAATGTGATGAATCCGATTATTATCGATCAGGAGTATTGTCCATATGCTTCTTGTGTGGAATCGGTACGTTCGTAATCAAGATTATGTATATATGGAGCAAATAATTAGAAGCACTACATTTGTATGTTTTGCATATATATAGGGTAAATTTCACACTTTGAATGTTTTGCTTGAAACCCCTGATCGAGCTTAATTTATAAAGTACAATAAAACCAAATTGAACTTGTTTCCTAGATATATGATGACTGACAGCAGTTAGTGTAAAATGTCACGCGTTTCACAGCTGACGTGTTTTCAATAGTTTTATATGTACATGCTTAATACCTACTATATTATCCTTTTTAGGTTTATGATAGACGCATGGAGAGTAATCATGATGTTTTAGACTTTTATCTGTCAAGTTAATGTCATTAATTTATGATAATTTTCAACAATTCAGATCAATGGTTTCCTCTGAACTATAAAGTTTATGAATTTTGTTAAAACCACCTAAAAGGTTCATGGGTTTTGTGAAGCTTTTCCTTGTATTAATTTCTATAAATGATTTCAAGTGTGTGCTAATTGCAGGCACACCTCATTGATAAGTGCTACATCTCCATAATTTAGATGATCAACTGGATTTAATGCTTTGCTAATTTTATCGCAGGAGCCATCTAGAGTTCAGATTAAGGATATTAAGTTCAACAACATAAGAGGAACATCATCCTCTGCAGAGGTAATCCAGTTGAGGTGCAGCAAGACTCATCCATGTGAAGGATTGGAGCTCAAGAACATCCAACTTCAGTATATTGGCAATGACAAAGCATTGAAGGAGACTGCTATTTGTGAGAATGTTAAAGTGATCTCAAGCAATGTCAAGCCTGTCTCCTTGCTAAATAAATAACTTCATGTTCAAGTATGAACGGGATTCGGATCCTCTCCACTACAAAAAAAATAATGGAGGGGCCACTACATAATCACAGCCATTAATTATCTAGTTGATGGTTATGATTTTTTTCTTTTAGTGCAAATTAGGAATGAGTGTAATACGCGGGGGTATGGTAAGTGTTAGATTTAGATTGTATCATAACCACCTACTAAATAATCAACGCTTGAGATTAAAAGTAGTGGTCTCTCCACTACTTTTTTATAGTGGAGAGGATCCAAATCCGTATGAAGGATGCCTAAGTTTAAGGAGTCCTTAATTATTTACTGTTGTAATTTATGTTTGATATCTGACTTTGTAACAAATTGTTGTAAATTTATTTGATTTAATAAAAAAGTACAATGAAATAATTCTTCACATGAGGTTTAAATATTAGACTTGATCTTCTGTGCTTAATTGGCCTTGTGCCTTAACTAAAAGTTTAGTATTGGATGATTGATCGTTTTAATAGAGTTGGGACTCCTCTGGATCTACTAGGTAATTGTTGAGATACAGAGTTTATTTATCCTTTTTTGGGGAAACATAGTTTACTTATAATTGAGAGTAAATTGTAGCTAATCCCTTGATCATTTATTTATACCTTTAATGGAACTTATCACTTTCAACTTGGCTCAAAGCGTGAATCGTAATGGTAAATAACTGCGAATAAATGAGTTCTGATATAATAAATGCTACTGAATATATGAATGAGGAGTTGCACATCTCTAAACTACTTCTCTAATAATTACAAGGTCGGGTGCATCAACTTTCTATAATACAAATGTTAGTTTAATTCGAAAAAAGCTACAACATTTGAAGAATAGTAGACAAAATAAATAGAGAGTTCAGTGCCTAGTCTTTTAATTATCTGCTATGGTCGTACTTGATTACACATGAGAAATCCGTAACCGGTGTATGAACAACAGAACCATCTCAACTTCGATAGTTAATTATTAGCGCACACGAAGAGGAATTATTACCTACCAACTTATTGTTTATTAATTAATCCATTACACAAAGTTGTTCTACATTGAACACCAAGCATAAACAAGCAAACCAAGCATGCACTAGTGAGCTAGCTAACCTCAAACTGGCCCGCTCACTCACATTATTTCTACTAAGTACTACTACTAGCACTCAAACATAAAATACCAAACAAACTAACATAACAAGTTCAAATGCAAGCAAACTAGACCACCACCATCTTCATTCTTCACTCTTCTCAGTTGGAGCTCCCTTGCTTTCTTCTTCCTTTTCTTCAACCGCCACGGGCTTCTCCTCCTCGGTTGCACCCTTTGCCTCTTCGGCGGCGGCGGCGGCTTCTTGAATTGGCTCTGCTGTTTTTTCTTCTGCAGGCACTTCAGTTGTAACTTCTTTAGTTGGCTCCTCAATGGCCACCTCTTGGTCATCAGCCTTTTGTTCTTCTTTTGCCTCTTCTGCCGTTGCCTCCTCTGTTTTTGCTTCCTCTGTTTTTGTTGTTTCTTCTGTTGCTACTGCTTCTTTGGTTTCTGGCTCAGCTGTAGGTTCTTCTACTTGTTTTTGCTCTGGTTCTTGATGATGATCAGTTGAACCATTGGGTTGTTCCTCATTGGTTGGCTGCTCAGAAGCTGGCTCTGTAATGGCTATGGCTTCCACTGCACCTGAAATTTCCTTCTGAGGCTCATTTGATTTTTCCTCAATGTTCGACTCCTGGAATGTATTAGTTGCAGATTGAACCTGCAATATCAAATGATTCTATAATATAATCGAATAGTAGTTCATTTCGGTGCAGCGGTCAGGACTTTAAGATGGTAGCGGGATAATCCAAATTTAAGTTTTTTAAGGATGCGTCTGGGTTCAAATTCAATCTCGAACAGAGTTCAGAGCTGGTTTTTGTAAGAACTCGCATATGCTTGGATCTGAATGCTAGAGTGTAGAGAATTAAACCCCTCAATTATGAGTAAAATTTCGGAGTATTGGTACAATAGTTTATAATACAAATTTTATCATACGTGACTTGGAACTACCAAAACCAAAGCAACTATATATCAGTGAGATGTAGATTGCCACAACCAAGCAATCAAGACTAAATTAAAAGCAAAAGGTTGAGCTATACCTCAACAGTGGCCATTGAAGCAAAAATGCCTTCTTTTATGAGTTACTAGTGTTTTTGTGTGTAAAGAAACTGGGGAGCTAGTTAGCTAAAGGTGGTGTTGTGAAGAAGTGTTGTGGGAGGTTCCGTTTGGGGGGGGGTTTATATAGGGCCATGAAAACATTAAATTAATAGAAAAAAGAAAAATTATAATATAAGATTCTCTTATTAAAATAAAAACATCCAGATCACTGACATCAGGATTAAAGATTAGGCCATGTTGGCTAGTGATGGGAGTCCTCGTTACTAAGAGAAGAGAATAATTAGAAAGAGCCAATCAAGTGGAGGTCCTTTATTACTTGTCTTGGTGAGCTGTGTAGTAGTGGCCTGTGCTCTGTGCAGTGTGGCTTGTAGGTGACCAACTCATTGTTCATGCATGTTCTTGGGTTTCTCTTGGGGGATTTCTTGCATCACTGCCACTTCAAAAGCAATCCTAGATTTGGTTTTTTTTTTTTTCGTATTTGAAATTTGCCCTTTATCCCTTAACCTTTTGGTTATAAAGATGGTCCTACTATGATTTTTTTTTTTTTTTCATGCGTAAAGTCATGATAATTAGGGTGAAATTTAGAAAGGAAGATATTAGCTTTTTTTTTTACCATAGTTGTAAAGATGGTACTATGATTTTTTGCAAAGTTGGACAGCTTTTTTATGTGGGGTGAAGTCATTATAATTAGGGTGAAATTTGGAAAGGTAGAGTTAGCTTTTAGTACCTAATAGTTGTAAAGATGAGTATGCAAGTTGTCCATGACTTTGTCAATTTTGAATGCTGCTTTGCTTTAGTTCTTTTCATTAAACAACCGTTTGAGGAAAGTTTAGGCTAACTAGCACATTTTTGCTTTAGTTTCTCTACTCCCAAAATTGATCTTCCAGTTAAGAATCAATGCTTGTTTTAAGGAAATCTATGCAATGTTAGTTTCTTAATATATATTTTGTTATTTTTATTCTATACAGAAAGAGCATGCTTAGTTTTCACATCAGGAATATGAGTGAGAATTCAAGACCATGGCTAAGATGAGTCAGGAAATAGTTTTGAAATTAAATGACAAAAACCAAATTTAGGTCAAAAAATCACTAGTGAAGTCTTGAATCAAGAATTTGTTAACAATTTACCCAATCGTGATTTCGTATGTCAATTAGCCATACTCGGTAAGGAATCATTTACAAACCTCTTTCCTTACTGCAGGAACGCATCAATCTTAGTACCCATGTATACATCTGCAGAATGTGAGATACATTATTTCTTAAAAACAAAATAAGAAGAGGAGGAGGAGAAAAGGAAAAAAAGAGGGGGTTTTTTTTTTTGGTGGGGTGGGGGTGGGGGGGGGGAGGAGGAGAAGTGTGATATACCATATTCCAACGAAGATTGAATACAAATAATTCAATCCATATGAACAATGATAGGCACAAAGTCTATCTATATTGGACAAACATGAATATCATATATCTTTCCATTCGAGAAAATGGACATAAGCACAAATAGTTTCACTCTGTCGGCATTATCAAACTTTTGAATTATTGGTAGATATGGGGAAATAGTAGTTTTCACTATGATAAGGTCCTTCTAGCATTGTGTTTGCAATAATGTAATAATAACCACTTTAATTGGGTAGATTTATAGGAAACCGTGGGTGGGTGATCCAGATGATTGAGGTTCCAATATGACTCCTAAGATATTGGATTACCTCCCGCCCTCTTATGGCAGCCTCTCTGTCTCATCTCCTTCCAAATTCTCATATCAAATATACGGATGAAATACATTAGATATCTCGTATACATCTCCTTAACAACAATTAGTTTGAAGGTAAAATTGTTTGAATATAAAATTATATCCATCAATTCTTACCATAACTTCGAAGTTTAGTATATTGGTTAGAGACTTTGACATAGTATCAGAGCAAAATCTAGATTTAAATTCCACCGGCCAAAAATCTAAAGCATATTTTCTAAAATTTGATGACAATGCATGAATCCAACTTCAAATTTTTGATGTATTAGTTAAGGATTTTAAGAAAGTTTAGGTACTGATGATAATTTCAGGGTTAACATAACAAATAGGATGATTTGGATGACAATTGTACAAATATTTATGAATCGCAAAAGAGATATTTGATGAATTGGAGGACTACTATTAGAATTTGTTATGGTATTCTCACTCGCTAAAATACAATTCATTGGCAAGTGACAGACAAATATCTCTCTGCAAGCAAGGCCAAAATCAACTTGGCGGCCCAAGCCCTGCAAAAATCGCAATTTAGCCAACTCGTTGAGAACTCAGCATTTTCCATGTCAAACCAAGAGGCGGAATCAATCGGCCTTCTTGTCAAAGACAACTCGCCAAGAGTCCACTCGACCGCCCGACGCCTCGCGAGGGCGACTTGAAAGACGCTACCTCTCGGCTAAATTATAAAACTCGTTTTGAGCTTCTTCTTCTAGCTGTATGTCAGCAACGCAGTTCACATTTGACAGGTCCCATCATGACCTTAGCCCTGATAGCCTACATGACTTTTCACACCACATGGGCTCTGCTACGCCATTAATCACTTCTTGGATAATGTGGAGACGTTCATACCGAAGTGACTACTCCCCCATTCGCCAATCGACATATGTAAAACGGAAGTTGACTCAGCTACCAGCCCACACTCCGCAACTGCCCTCCTATGCTCGATCGAAGTGACCAAACTACCCCTTATGCACTGAGTATAAATACATGTATTATTCTAACCTAAAATGGGGAGGAGGGGGGGCTTCTTCTCTAAAAAAAAGAAAATAAGAAAGACAGAACTCCTCCATCTATAAAATATACTGCACACAAGAACTCACACAGTTCTTCACTTTCCTCACTCAAGCTCACTAGCTAACTTGATCATCGGAGGAACCACAGGGGGAATCGGTCTCCGCCCTCTTACGAGCTTCTACTTGTGCAGGTTTTTCAGCTACCCAATTTAAGAACTAGACATAAAGTTGGAGAAGAAAGCAGTCCCTTCATCAATCTCCTCTACCTCATCCCGGTGAGGGCCTGAGCGGAACCGATCTTATCCTAGATCCAACTGACTATGTGATCATAGCCATCAACAGAATTAATATAAAACTATAAACCTTGACTATCACCATAACTTCAGAGTTTTGATGTAATAGTTAGGGGGACTTATTTTAAGATGGTATCAGAGAAACCCAGGTTCAAATCTCGCCGGTCACGAATTTTAAGTGGATTTTCTATAAATTAACACTGCTGCGTGAGCCTAGGACCATAACTTCGAAGTTTTAGTCTAATGGTTGGATGGACTTAATTTAAGATCTATTCAATTTGAATCATAACTATTTGAGGGCAATGAGTATGAGATGAAAGCTCATTTTACAAAATAAGTTTGTCCACTCACAAGCACAAAACCACACACGCACCTAATGTGACAACTAGGTGGGCCAAAACGTTATTGATATTAGTGAGTAGCTCATTTTGTAAAATGCGCTGTCAACTCATATATATATTTATTTCTACCTATTTTATAAAAGAGAAAAATGGGTATACTTGGTACCAAACATAAATTTTGTGTCTGGTAGTGAGATGTCATATTCTCATCTACTCATTTCAATTCCCGACCACTCCTCATCCCATGTGATGTGGGCCTCAATTTCAATGAGTGGAGAGGAATGTGTCATCTCACTACCAAGCATAAGTTTCTTTTATAAAAAAAAACGATGCAAAGTTTCTCTCTCTCTCTCTTTAATCAACCATTTTTACCTATATAAAGAAGATACGGATGGAGACAACCGTCAACTGAAAGTGAGCCGAGACTGTTTGATAATGGGAGGGGGGCGGTGCTTCTTTCTCTCCAAACATTAGCGTCCAACAACGATGGGTCCAAACCCTCACGAGTGATGACTGTCTCATGTACCAAAATCCCCCTATCCCTCTCAAAACCGAGTCACTTTATTGGGTCCCATTGCCGAAAGGCTTCCCACTTTACACGTGGGCTCGGTCCCACTTGCACTGGCCATGCCACATCAGTCATGAGGTGACGTGTCAATATCATTGGTGGCTCATCGGCGACAATTCTGAGTCCGATACATACCGTAAAAACTTCAATCAGAGTCATTTTTATATGTGATGATCCAAGAAGGTGAACGTTTGATGATATGCTTCTCCCAAGATCCTTTGCCATGTAATTCAAGGTTTCCATCTCTTCGAAAGCCACATGTTAATAGATCTAGCCTTTCCGATTAGGCGCGTAATATGCTCAAGTGATTTGTATAAGCTTGAAAACTATAATGGTGTTTGCATTTTTATTTTTCTTCTATTTAATACATCACATTTTTCTTCAAGTCCATTTGCCTTTTAGGGGCTGTTTGGTTCCCTGTTTTTGAGGGAAAAGCTCTCTTGAAAGTCTTTCAAAAGTGTCAAAAGCGTCACTTTTTGGTAGGCTTTCAAGCAAAATCGCCTCTTTGAAAGCCTGCCAAAAAGTGACACTTTGACAGGCTTTCAAAGGAAAAAATTTCTAACCAAACGGACCCTTACTTTTACCACCTCCATGCTACTGTGAGCTCTGCGTTATTTCCAAAGCTAAGTTCATACCCCCATTTGATGTACAAGCTGACCAAAGCATCAATTCTGGAGTCAGAATCAAATCCCCATAACACTCTCCATTATTGAGAACCCCATCATCATACTCCTTGCGGAAAAAAAATTTAAGATCCTGCTCTTATCCCCATGAGGGGATTATTTCCATGTTAATGGGATGAAGTGATCACACGCTGGGATTGGCTAAACTCGTCACGTCCCAATGGTAAACGGCAGTTGCGAACACGAGCAAGAATTTCAGCGAGCCGTGCATCGTCAGCCCCTTGAAATTCTCCAATGCTACGTACCAAAATTGTCAGCGGAATTCTGCAGGGTATGGGTTTAGGGTGGCAGGAACAGCAAAAATTGTCATGGATTGCCGCGTAGTACATAGATTTGTGCTCGTTTTTTTTGGATCACGGGCTAAGAACTGTATTTGTTCGGGTCCCCGCAACTTTGTTGAGGATGGGGCCTTAGAATTGAGGACGTGAAGTTTGTTTTCATAATATCTTCATGATAACTATTTAAGAATAGGGCTT